CAAAAAATTCAGGAGGAAGGAACACTTCCAAGCTCATTCTATGAAGCCAGCATCACCCTAATACCAAAACCAGGTAAAGACAACACAATGAAAGAGAATTACAGGCCAATATCCCTCATGAACATAGATGCCAAAATCCTCAACAAAATCTTAGCAAATCGGATCCAACAGTACATCAGAAAGATCATACACCATGACCAAGTAGGATTTATCCCAGGAATGCAAGGATGGTACAACATCCGTAAATCAATAAACGTAATACATCACATAAACAAATTGAAAGAAAAAAACCACATGGTCATATCAATTGATGCAGAAAAAGCATTCGACAAAATCCAACACCCATTTTTGATAAAAACTCTCAGCAAGGTGGGAATAGAAGGATCATACCTCAACATAATAAAAGCCATATATGACAAACCCACAGCCAACATCATACTCAATGGACAAAAACTAACACCATTTCCCCTAAGAACAGGAACAAGACAGGGATGCCCACTCTCGCCACTCCTCTTCAACATAGTCCTGGAAGTATTAGCCATTGCAATTAGACAAGAAGAAGAAATAAAAGGCATCCAAATTGGAAAAGAGGAAGTAAAACTGTCCTTATTTGCAGACGACATGATATTATACATACAAAACCCTAGAGACTCCATCAAAAAACTACTAGACTTAATACATGAATTTGGCAATGTAGCAGGATACAAAATTAACCCCAAGAAATCTGAGGCATTTCTATACACCAATAGTGAACTTTCAGAAAGAGAGATTATAAAAACAATCCCATTTACCATCGCACCAAAAAAATTAAGATACCTAGGAATAAACTTAACTAAAGAGGTAAAAGACCTCTACTCAGAAAACTACAGGACGTTAAAAAAAGAGATAGAGGAAGACATAAAGAGATGGAAGAACATACCATGTTCTTGGATTGGTAGAATCAACATCATTAAAATGTCCATACTACCCAAAGCAATCTATAAATTCAACGCACTTCCCATTAAAATACCAATGGCCTACTTCAAAGATCTAGAACGAACTCTCCAAAAATTCATCTGGAATAAAAAAAGACCCCGAATAGCTGCAGCGATCCTGAGAAAGAACAAAGTAGGTGGGATCTCAATGCCAGATATCAAGCTGTATTACAAAGCCACTGTTCTCAAAACTGCCTGGTACTGGCACAAGAACAGACATATAGATCAGTGGAATAGAATAGAGAGTCCAGAAATTAGCCCGAACCAATATGCTCAATTAATATTTGACAAAGGAGGCAAGAACATACAATGGAGCCAAGATAGTCTCTTCAATAAATGGTGTTGGGAAAATTGGACAGATATATGCAAGAAAATGAAACTAGACCACCAACTTACACCATACACAAGAATAAACTCAAAATGGATAAAGGACTTAAATGTACGACAGGAAACCATAAAAATTCTAGAAGAATCCAAAGGCAACAAAATCTCAGACATATGCCAAAGCAATTTCTTCACTGATACAGCTCCTAGGGCAGTTGAAACTAAAGAGAAAATGAACAAATGGGACTACATCAAAATAAAAAGCTTCTGCACAGCAAAAGAAACCATCAACAAAACAACAAGAAAACCCACTGCGTGGGAAAACATATTTGCCAACGTCATATCTGATAAGGGCCTAATCTCCAAAATTTATAGGGAACTCATACAACTTAACAAAAAGAAGATAAACAATCCAATCAAAAAATGGGCAAAGGATCTAAATAGACACCTTTCAAAAGAGGACATTCAGAAAGCCAAGAGACATATGAAAACATGCTCAAAGTCACTAATCATCCGAGAGATGCAAATCAAAACAACAATGAGGTACCATCTCACACCTGTCAGAATGGCTATCATCAACAAATCAACAAACGACAAGTGCTGGAGAGGATGTGGAGAAAAAGGAACACTTGTGCACTGCTGGTGGGAATGCAGACTGGTGCAGCCAGGGGGGAAAGACACATATGTAATACCCTTTGTAATACTTATAATATTTTTTTAAAAAGAATAAACAAAAAAAAAAGAAAAAAAAAACAAAAAACACGGTCTTGACCAAAAAAGCAAGGAACAGAATAAGATCTATATGACAGTGCCAATTATGTAACTTAACAACATACAGAAACATAAGAAAACACACAAAAAACAGTCGATCAAAGTGGTTGCATATGATGGGATGGGTGTTGGAAGTAGAGAATGAGGAATAAATGATGTAATTAAAAAATACAAGACAGAGGACCACGCATAAAACAATAGTGTATGGAATACTAGTGCACTATGAACTGAATATGATGACCTCAAATCTCTGCATTTTAAAGTACCATCCCTCCCCAAAATATGTAACACACGTGTGCACACGTGTGTGCACACAGATGAGATTGTATGGTGGTGACATGTGGACCAAATTAGGACATAAAAATGTTATATTTTGCTTGGCCCAAGCAGTATATACATTCGCTTGAAGAACTTCCTATAGCATTACAAGTACATTACAAGCCAGTACAAAGTCGTTGCGTCATAGATCCTCCATAGCAAGCCCTTGATGAATGTGTTCTTTAAAGTGAATTTGTAATTAAACTAATTCTCCCTCGACCACAGATTCAACCCAACAACCCCACATCCATCAGGAAATGACAAGACCATTTCAAAAGCAAGACTGACTATTGGATCCTAAATTCTATGCCATCACTGCTCAGGGAGAGCATGTCTTTTGCTGTCTTAAAAGCCACAGTTAAATAGGGCAGGAATTTAGCGAGTTCTCTTTATTTTTATTTGAGGGTATGCAAATAGGCACCAGCCACTCCTGGGAAATTGATGTCATTGAACATCTGTGCTCACCTTCCTTTTAAAAATAAGCAAGCAAATCAGACTCTGAACACAAAACTCTTCGCCTTGATGATTTTCTCCATCTCTTAGATCCTCCTTCGCTGACCTTGCCGTTGGATGTGTCAGTTACATTTATCAGGATCCCAGTGCAGGTTTATTATTTATTTGACTTTTGCTTTTTTAAATGACCCTTTGATTGTCCAAAGTGTCTCTCTCTGTAGTCTTTGCTTCGGCCCAGTGCTCTCAGCTTCTTCCTGGCACCCCCTTGCCGGGGATTATTCTGTTTTCTATTTCACTAGCCTCAGTCTTTACTTTTCTTCCCTCCTGACCTTCTGACCTGAACTTCCTGCTCCTGTGGGTTCCCCTTTATGCCACTCTTCATCCTTGCTTCCCTCCTGTTTTATTTTGCGCGTGGTTTCATCATCTGGAAAGGTGGCAAGGTGGTGTTTGCATTACTCAACACCTCGTCTCTTCTGCACCGTCAGCTGAATTTCATCACATTAAGGTCTAATTACTGGGCAAAATGGATTATGATTACATACTCGACTGCTTTGGTCTGTGAAGTGTACTTTCTGTAAGTGAGAACTTGCCACGTTACCTTGAAGTTGTTTAAGAAAAGAGGATGCTTGAGCTAAAATAATACATGTCTATTCATTTGTTAATACTTATTGAGCTTCCGTGATATGCTAGGCACTGTGCTAATTATTGAGGATAAATAGATGAATAAAATAAACACAGGCCCTGCCCTTAAGGAACGTAGAGTGTAGGTGGGGACACAGACATTAACAGGCAGACATACTGCTATACACTTCAACATTGTGCTGAGTGAGCGGAGGAAACAAACCAAGAGCCATGGCGGAGAATAACTCAGGGGACCACTTGGGTGGTTGGTAGAGTTGCCAGATTTTGCAAATAAAACTGCAGGAAAGGAAAAAGAGAAAAGAAAAAGAATAACTATTTTTGAATGGAGAACTTGGGTAGACAGTAAGGCCATTCCTGAGATGGGTGACTGAGAGGAACAGTGAGGGGTGGGTGGGGTGAAATGGTTAGAGTTCAGAATCAGAAGGATTGAAGTTATGCCAATTGTGAGACATTCATTGACCCCCACCACTGAACATGCACTGAACTTCATGGTTCGCAAATAGCCACGCGCTCTCTCCCCTACCACGTTGTCTCATTTGACATGGCACTTCCTTAATTTGGGTGTTATTTAATTTCTACAGCTCTAAGGTGGCAATATTATGCTCCTCACTTGGCATCTTGCTTGGACTCCATTGACTTGTGCCCTGCATGTCGTATGACACCTTAGTTTTATGCTGCATATAACATGGGTGTTTTCTTTCTTCTGCAAAGCCAGTTTATCATGGCCTTCTGTTACATAGATCAGAATCCAGCCAGTCCTCCTGTCTCATGGTGCCATCTGACACTGGATTTCAGAGAAACCAGCCAGTTGATGCGTTTGGGGAGATATTGGGCACCTAGCACCCTTGGCCTGGTGTCATAAACCCCTAGCATAATGAAAGGTTGCCTGAGAGAGACCTAAGCCTGACCAAGGGACCAAAAATATAAACCTTCCATAGATGAGTGGCCAAGGTTATAGAATCTGGCATCAAGAGACCTGGGATCAAGCCCAGGCTTCCATGCTAGCTAGTTGAGTGACCTTGAACTCATGACAAACTCTCCAAGCCTCATTTCCCCCACAGTGTTTCTGTATGACTTGAGCAATTTTACATTTAATGGTTTAGAATAGAGCCTAGCACGTAGTGTCCCCTGATTGTTGGCCTTTCTTATCGTTTTTTATCATCAGTCACATGACCAAGGGAAGTTATTGAGCTGGTTAGCCACCCCCCCTCCCCCAAATTTGAGTGAAAGCAATAAGGCATGAGAATTCTGAATGATGGGGAAGACAAGGTAGTGGTTAAAAACAGACTTGGGAGCCAACGGCTTGGATTTGAATCCTGACTCTGATGCTTACTAGCCCTGTAGCCTTGAGCAGTCACTGAGTTTTTCTTCTGTGTTGCTAATTTGAATTCTTAAATTATGGAGTTTCTTGCTAATGATTCTATCAAAGTTTTTTCATGGAGCACTTACGTTTTAAATGTCCCTATACTCTTTCCAGATCTTGGCTTGTTACTAATTACTGGTGTTTTCATTTTACAGATTCCGTGTCCTCTTGACTCTTCATTAATATGAACCCTTCTGAAGTTTTCTTGCATAAATCTGGATTAGAGGGAGGACTGATGTCTTCCAACCCAGCAGCCTTCGGGAGTAACCTCAGCTTTCAGCCTTTCTGTTGGAGCTATTGCCCTTGAAGGAACCCTGCCCAAGAGGAGCCCTTGACCTTCAAACTGGAGATTATCAATGGAGACACGGTAAGGCTCATCAGTTCCTTTCTGCTCATGCTGCTCTCTCACAAGAAGTGCTGTTAGAGGTGAGGCTTGTCTTTCTCCTTCAGTCAGTCTCAGTAGCCTCCACGTGAAAGAGGCCTGGAGGTGTTTGGTAAGGGATTGGCACCCTTAGTTCCATAAGCAGGTTTGCCTTTGTTCATATTTTTGGATGATTGGAGTTGGGAGGGAGAGGTTAGACATCTGTACGCATTTCATTCAGAGGAGGAGGCCTACCCCTAACATCCTAAGTATCAGTAGTTCATTCTTTCTTTTATTTATAAAGCATTTATTGAACACTTAGTATATATTGGGCCCTATGCTTTTCCCTATGGAGACATAAGTTAACAGGAAAGATATGGTCTTTGCCTAATGCAGCTCACCCCCATAGATTTCTTATGTCTTTCCCCAGCCTCTTAGATAAACTCATTGCACTTGGTGGACAATCAACAAAATCGTTTGATCATGATGAGATGCCATCTATGTGGCTGCTTTTCCTTCTGTGTTGGTCATACTGTGTTTCATTAAGCTCAGAACCGTCTCCAGTGTCCACCTGATCCCTTTGTCTGAACGGCCCACACAGTTTTTCAGTGACTTCATTGCTGTGTTGGGATGTCAGCTCATCTGAGCGTCTAAGTTTTTCATTCAAGCCAACTGAGTAGCCAGGTCCAATGTACCCAAAGAAAGTTCCAGAAGATATGTTCCATCCACTGGAAGTCCTGATGTGGCAGTTTAATGGCCATCTGTCATTAAGGAGGTTTTCCCTAAACAGTGGTAGTGATGTGCCCGATGACACCAGCATTGCTTGGAGCTCGTGTCCCCAACAGTATCAACGATGAACATGGAGGGAGGACAGCATGACTCTGAACAAACAAATCCAGTGGCATTGAGCCAGGCCACCGAGGCAGGCCACGTGTAGATTGTGCTGCTGAGCATCTGAAAGCGTGTTGCTGGTGGACGGGAAGCTGATTGTTGCTGGAACCTGGGCTTCTTTCTGTAACAAACTGGGGCGGGGGAAATTACCTCCCCGTAATATTGAATCTTACCTACATAATTCTTCTACAGGCCCTGTGGACTTGCCTGTGCTTTTCATGCTTCTTAATTTCTTAAGCCAGAACTGTAGGACTGGGGCTAACGTAGGTGACGTTTCTGAAGGAAACAGACCCGTTATTGGTCCCAGGTGGCACTGAAGCTTTTGATCCTAATACAACCATTTTTAAAGCAATGCCTGGGACTTGTAAAACCGGTCATTTTATTACAGAAATACATTATACTTTTGGTTAGAAAATGCCCCTTTGGGAGCTGCCACCTGATTGGCCGATGATGCAGTCAGCTTTCGCAATCACTTTCTAACCAAATATTATATTAGGTTTTTAAAAACAGCTTCTCTCGTGTGGCTCAGGGAGAGAAAGTCATTCTTTATGAAGAGCAACATACAAATGAGCACACTTGGGCAAGACAGTTCTTCAGCAAAGCCACAGTCTATTTTAAATGACATTGGAACAGAAATTTGCTGGTTCGTAAATTATTATTAACGGTTCTGCCAATGCTTTGCAATGATCACTTGTTTATTATCTCATCATCTCGTTTGATCCTCATAACAGCCATTTGGGATGGAGAGGGCACGAGTCATCGTGCCTGCTGGTCAGATGAAGGAATAAGGTTCTGGGAACAGAACTGATCAGGTCTGGGATGGCTAGAGGCAGGGGTCTAGAATTGGTGACATTCACTCAAATGACCTTTCTGGGCCATTTGGTCTTTGTTCTTTCCAATGCCAACAAGCCATAACTCTGGGAGCATCCTGAGAGGAGTCTTATGGTCCAAGGATTGGTGGATGCGTTGAGTTGGCCCCTTCTGGGAAAGGATGAAGCATTAGGTGGTGATCTAGGCAAAGAGACCATTCCATTTTCTCTTATTTGTTTTGCCAGCTGATGAGAAAGTAAACACACCCTATCACCTGTGATTTTGCTTATGAAGGACTCACCCTTTTTAGTGACCAGCCCTACTCGGTCCTCATCGTTTCCAGTGGAAATAATTCCGTTAAGAGCCACCCTTCTCTGGGAGCGCACCTTTATGGAGCAGACCAGAGGGAAAAGTAATTGAATTTAATAAAAGCTGTTCTCAATATAAAGCCACAGGGAAATACATTTAACTTCAAAGCCAAGATGCATGGTTCCTAAATATAATTAATTGCCTGGCTGTTTCTTCCATCAACTCTCAATTTGACAGTAAAGAAGTAAATTCTTTGGCACTTTTTGTTTTATAAAAACACGAATTCTCCATTGATAGCTATGGATAGATCGATACAAGTCATTCTCAGAAATGAGATGCTTTAGATTTAGCAAAGTTGCTACAGCTATCACTTTTTGCTCCATCTGTGCAGGAGAGCCTAGAACTAGGTGCAGGCAATCTTTTCTTTCTTGCTTTCTTTCTTTTTTTACTTATTAAATATATTTTATTGATTGCAGAGAGGAAAGGAGAGGGAGAGAGAGATAGAAACATCAATGATGAGAGAGAATCATTTGATCAGCTGCCTCCTGCATGCCTCCTACTGGGGATCAAGCCCACAACCCTGGCATGTGCCCTGAACCAGGAATCGAACCATGACCTCCTGGTTCATAGGTCAACGCTCAACCACTGAGCCATGCTGGCCGGGCAGCACAGGTAATCTTAACAGAATTGTCCAAGGGGAGACTTTCTGCCCCTTGACCTCCTCCCCACCTCCTTTTTAAAACTTTCCTTCAAAAGAAGAAAGAAATCTTTGGGGACATTCTCTAAGCAAGCCCAGTAAGAGAATACGTGTGTTTTGGGTGCCCTTGTTTGCAAGTGCTAAGGATTAATTCCACACAGATTTCGAAGGGAGGAAAGTTGCTTATCCTTGTCTGAAGCGCGCTGAGGGGCGGATGCCTCTCACCAGCAGGTTAAGAACGTGTGCGTGTGGGCTGTTTCCAGGGAGGGCAGGACCCACAGGTGCCACCACGCTGGCCGGAGGGACTTGGCTCCTTCCCAGGCGACAGGCCACTGTTGTCTAAGGACAGGCCCCTTTCCACTCCCTGCACTTCCTAAGGGAAGGTTGGTTGCTTTCTTCAGTCTGTGAAGTTGCATGAGGAGAGACGGTGTCATTTAAGAAGGAGACGTTGATGCCAGAAAGGAAGCTAAAGACCTTCTGCCCCAAATTCTCGTCAACAAAGAAAAAGCACATCAGTCAAGACCGGAAGTGTGCAAAACCACGTCTGTACCTTTAGCATCACAAGTCATTACGAGAGATGATGTGGCACCAAAAGGCAGCTTCACGCTCAACTGCTTGCATTTAGAAGTGTCTCTACAAAAAAAATAGCAGACGGTTGTAAAGGAGAGATAGTCACATAGGCATGAGCAAATCTATTAAAAAATTTAGCACTATTAAACTTCCAACAAAATTTGAGAGAAAAAAGTTATATGCATGAAAATCTCGATTGCAGGGTTTTCCACACTGGTAAAATACTACAGTCATTCAAAGGTCCAAAAGAAAGGTATTGTTTAGATGAATCACCGTACATTTATTTGGTCATATAATAATGCAGTTATTATTTTGTTGCCTATAAAGGCTGGGCGGAATATGGAAAAGTGTTTATGACATAATATAAAATTTAAAAACAAGTGTGTGCATATATGGTTGTAACTATGTAAAAAAGTTTAAGAGAAAAGACTAGAAGTAACTATAAAAAGAAGACAATATTAGTAGGATAGTGAAATTACAGTTTAAAACGTTTCCTATACTTTATTCCATGGCATGACTTCTTTAATGTCTATAATGAAAAAAAAAACATAATAGAAAAGTCAGAGCTGCCCTTAAGCATTTCTTTGCTTCTCATCAAGATCTTTTGCTTTAGGTGCTCTTCGTCTGACTTTGGGACTTCAGCCACCAGCCCCGAGAGCAGGAGGGTCTGGGTATGATTGGAAAAGCATTGCTTTCTCCATCTGCCCTGCGAGCCAGACAGACCCCTTCATTTCCTTCTGCTCACAGCTCTGCGTTCTCCGAATCATCTACTCCTCAGCTGGCCAGATGGATCAGCCATGACGCGGGGCCTCCCCTGGGTTCCATGAAGAGCCGGGCTGTTTGAACGGGGCCTGAGGCTGTTGACTGCTTCCTGATGACTCAGTGTCCATACGGGGAATTTGTGGTGAGCAGTTAGGAGCTTGGGGGACTGCTGACCATGGGGATTAGCCAGTCTACCCACCTTCCCTGAACATCAGCGCCCCAGATAACATTTGGGAATGATCTAGGTGCCCTTGGCCGGAGAGAGTGCTGACAGTGCCCGCAGGAGGCTGTGTCTCCATCAGATTGGAAGTCAGTGAGTCCCCGGCATGAGCCTTGTGTAGCCTGGAAAGGACTGGCTGGGGGCCCCCTCGGAGTCTGAGCGGAGGACTGGTCCTCTGGTTTGGCCCACGCCACTTGGCAAGCACATCAGGAGGAGGCTGACCTGGTCCTTAGGCCCACACACCGGGCGAGATCTTGCACAACAGGGAAGGGGGGCTGTGAGACCTGGACCGTGTCCACCTGCCCACTCAGGCCTTCCTGCCTCCCTCCCTCCCACCGCACAGAGCTTTGCTCAGTTTACCCAACGTGCCAGCTACATGTCCGTCTCGAGGCATTTCTTCTCTAATTCTCGGAAGAAACTTCCTTCCCCTGTTCACTTTTCCAGCCCCCTTTCATCCTTTTTAACTCAAAGAGCCACCTGAGAGGGGCTTTCTCCATCCCCCAACTGAAAGTGTATTTTTCCCCCATTTGGTTATTCTCTATTTTCACATCTTTTATGTTTCTTTCCAAGTTGTTGGCCGTAGAAAGTGTCATTTTTTAATTTTCTGCTTGCTTATCTGTTTTCTTCTTGGTCTTCCCTGCTGGATTGTAAGGTAGCCAAGGTCTGGGACTGTGTTGATCTTGCTCACCATCAGATACCAGCAACCAGGGCAGTGCTTGGCACCTAGCAGGGGTAGGGGCTCAGTGACTACTTGCTGAGGGAGGGAGTGAGCTGAGCCACTGCAGCCGTCTCTAAATCAGAGCCATTCCCTACATATTCTCCTATGGCCTGCTTGACTCACGCAATATTGTTTCTAGGGTTGATGGAGATGTGGCATTACTTTTCATTGCTGCATGGTATTCCACTGAAGAACTATCTTACCATTTATAAACTGTACTGTTCTTGGGGTTTCAGGCATTTCTAAATTTTGTTCCATAAACAACGCTGTTGTGAACATTTTGTCCATGTCTCCTGGGGTGCACATGCCAGTGTTTCTCTAGAAGAGAAATTTGGGTCATGTTCATGCGATCCATATTCAAATGAAAGCATAGGAGTAAATTAATTAAAGCAGCGGAGGGGCTCCCTGACATATAAGTTGCGGTGAACAGTCATTTGACACAGACACACAACATCACTAACTCCTCTTCTTCAACACCAGCTGCCTACCCACCATAAGGCAAGAGTCACCATTGGCCCAGTCAGGAGCCATGGAGGGCCTAGCATTTCCTGAGCTGTGGAGTATGTCACCTCCTTCCTTAGTGGCAAACAGGCTCAAGTTTTGAACAACCTTTGGGAGCAGGATTAAGGGAACACCCATTTACTGAGTACCTAACTAGTAGGCAAATTGTCAGGCATTTGACATGTAGGATTTTGGTATCTCATTTCATCTCTACAGATACTCTTTGACATGGAGAGTGTTGTCCCCATTTTGCAGGCGGGCAAACTGAGGCTCATGGAGGTTGAGAAATTTGTTCAAGGTCACTGTCCGGGGTGGTGAAGGTGTGATTCCAGTCTTGCCTCATTATTCCTTCTCACAGGTTGGCACATGCTAGTTCTCTGCAAATCTGTGTGTATGTGTGGAGGGAGGAAGGAAGACATGGAATGGGTGACTGCTTAAAACAAAAGCAAAACTCTGGCAGGTTCACATGCTTAGTCTTAATGAGCTGCTAGCTCTGCCTGCCCCACTGCACCCTGGTCCTGATCCTTGTAGCGGAGCTGAAGAATAGACTGAAATCACCAGGGGTCTTTGCTGCAGGGGGTGGCCAGGGCTTTGCATGGCCTCTTGTCCTGGGTGAACCGCCATGTTTCTGACCTTGAGAATGACCTAAAGTGAAGCACCAGCCGGCAGGTAAGGACATGGCACTGGCCCATCCTGTGCTTGCTCAGGAAGCCCCCGGCCTGAGGCCAGCCCCCTGTTTTCCGCTGCAGGATTTCAAAGAGACGTGTACAGAGGGATCCCTAATCCCCCCCAAGCCCTAGGGAGGAGGTGGTATTACCTCCAGGTTGGGGTGGGGAGGGGCTGATTCACTGTGGAAGTCATAAATCAGGGGGCTGGGTAGCCTGGGGCGGCGGAGAAATCCTCAGTGCTGGGAACCAAAATGCAAAAATGCTGCCGGGTCCAGCTGGGGCCCGGGTCAGGGCAGGATGCTGGGACTCGCCTGAAGCCATTGGAAGCGGGAATGAGGTCCAGTCCCGGGCCCAGGTGTCCTCCCGCTTTGGTCCTTGAAAACCCATCCGAAGGGTTGCAAGTCCTCGCTCAGAGCTCAGCCCGCAGCCCCTGTAGTCAATTAGGAAAAACAAACTGGGATTGTTGTGATCGATGATGTTGATGCTGCCATGGAGGGAGACAGCATAGCCCTTAAAAGACAAGCTCACTTTGGAACATTGATTTACTGCAGGGGCTCGGTAACCGGCCTACATTGCTACTTGAAAGCATGACAGCGTTCAATAATAATAAATATGTGTGTGTGTGTGTATGGGGTGTTGCTATATATTGGGTGTCTCCAAAAATGTATACATACACTTTGAATAATTATAAAGGTAGTGTTTATTAAAATAACTTCATTTTCCAAATTGAGCTATCAGCTGTTCAAGTGTGTATACATTTGAGGGGGCACCCTGTATATATATATATGTCCATATATATTTGTAGTATGTTATTTAACATTTTTGGTGTTTTTATTCCTGAGTGAGGTAAATTTCAGCTTCTAACCTTGGCCGCTTTGGGTTACACAGTGCCGTTCTTGTCACTTTATATGCAATGGGGGTTAATATATTTTATGTGCCATATTTTTATATAAGGATATGTATATATATATAGTTATGTAATTACCTTTATAATTTATATATAAATTTATGACATAATTATATATAAATTACTATATATTATATGTACTTTAATAGTTACATATGAGTATATAAATATAATATTTTAAATTTTATATATTTACACTTACGTAATCTCTATATAAGTGCCTAAGTGCAATATTAAAAATTTAAATACATTTATACACATTTAAATACATACTTAATGTGGAATATGAATGAGTACGCCTCGGCGTGGAAATTGGGGGGAGGGGCGATCAATATCAATACAAAGCTGAGTGAGGAAAAACACAAGGGCGTGGGCTTCCCAGTCCTGCGCACAATGACACCCAGTCCCCCGGGACTCCGAGCGCTCCTCGCTCTCCTGGCTGCACAGGGGCCTTACACGTCCAGGGAAGCTGTGGGCTTGTTAACCTAGAAGGCCGTGCAGATGGACCAACCGAAGCTTTAGTCATTATACTTAATTGGGCGAGCGGCCCTCGGAGCTGTCTATAAACTGTGTGCTCACAGTGAGGTAATTAATAACGCCACTTCCTTTTGGGAGACGTATCATTAGCCATTATTTCTAGAAACATGACATTGATCTCTTTATTCAGAGAGGTAATTGCAGGTTTCTGGAAAGAGTGTATGGTTTACCCAACAATTCCCCACAAATGACATCATCACTGAGAAGTAAGACCCACAGAATCTGTCATTTTGAATCCATAGTTGGATTTTGTTCCCTAGGTGGTAAAAGAAGACTCTCGAAAGAAAAAGCAAAAAAAAGAACTACTTGGGTATGGAAATTAGAGTGAAAGATAAAATTTGGTGTGTGTGTGTGTGTGTGTGTGTGTGTTTTAAAGACATTAGTGATTTCAAGGCTGGTTAAGGGGGTGGAGTTTGTGCTTGTTAGTCCTATAGCAAAAAGTGAAACAACATAAGGATTAAAAAATGTTGTGTTTTTTTTTTTAACTTTTACAACTGCCTTCAGGTAATAGTTTTCTCATTGTGTCTTACAACATGCTCACAAATGAATTCGATTTCAGCATTAGCATGAGAAAACCCATGAGTTCCAAAATCCAATTCTTCACATTAAAAGGAAGCAGGGAAGTGCAGCCCAGGACTTGACATTTGGCACTGATTGGATTCTATACTGTGGAGCAAGAATCAAAGGGGAATTTCAGAGTAATTTTTGCGAAAGCCTCCAGCTGACTTACCCTCAACAATCGTACCTTCAGTGTTCACATTAAATTGAAAAAAAAAAAATCTGAATCGCCACATTTCCCTGTTTTTTAGGGACTTTATAGGGTAATGGTAGGATTGAAAAAAGAAACAAGACCTTTATTCATTTGGGTTATTTTCCAGTTTCAAATCCTTGCCTGGGTTTTGGAACAACCTGAGTCCATTAGAGAAAGGAGTTTCACAGAGGAGAACAAGGTAGCTTATTTAAATCAACTGCAAGAGAATCTACTTCCAAACTCTTTTGTCAACTTCACACTGGGAACCTCTCAAATGTTGATGAATTTTTTCAAACCGTGATTTTTCCAAAGCATCTTTCTTTCTAGAAACCTGTTTGGCACCAGGTTTGTAGAAACCTGCTTTTGGGGGTGTAGAGTTTTTCAATGGAAACCATAGAACCTCTAAACTTGCCATAAACCAACACATCTCAAGTATTTTAGAGGGACACCAGATGTGCCAGGGGCTGGAGGTGAAATTGGAATGTGATTCATTTTCTGTTCCTCTTGGAAACTCGCTGTGCATGTTGGGACAGTAAAGGCCCTGAGAAGTCCTGTAGTGAAGGAAGCTGCTCTGCTTTGCTTACCTGGATGATGTTTCTTAAAGCTCTTTACTCTTTCACTTTTCTGTATATTTTTAAATGTTTATATTAATGCGTTAGAGCAAAAACAATTTTACTTTTATTTTGCACAATACCAGTGAACATGTTGCAGAGTTAGCATTTCTTAAAACCCACAGGGGAACACATTCTCCTAAGTGACTTTATTGACTCTATTTGTTGAGTTTCTCTTCTTTTCGGATCAATAAGAGAATTACCTGAATATGGATCTACTGATTAAATACAGAACTTTGCATTTAAGAGCCATTGAACGTTTCAGATGTGAATTCATTTCTCGGATATACAATAATTCTCATCGTTAGTCAAAGCTGGGGAGATGATATTGACAAGCCTGGATTTGCATTCGGCCTGAAAGCAGAAGGGAAGAGATGTTTTTCATTACAGAGTTTTAATCAGCAGGACATTGAAGTTTCCCCAAATAAATTCCAAAATTCTAAGAGGAACTTGCTGAAAGGTAATGTCTCTTCTATATTTCAGGTTCAGATAAATGATGGAATTAAAAATGATGTAAAAATGCCTACGTAATTATTTTAAAGATAATCCTAAAATGTCATTTAATGTCTCGGCACCAGGTGGGTAGATATTGGATTGGATAATTTGGCATTTTAGGGTTTGGAGGCTTGGAGAGGGAATTTATGGCTTATGGGTTTTAAAGCCATAATCTCATGATGAATTTGGTTAACGTTATTAAAAGCTACATCTTAAATATCCATGCTTTGTTTAATATAGTGCATTTATTGGTAGAGCTGTCTGTTGGATTTTATTTTTAACCTGGCGGGAACATATGCATTTTAATCTAAATGTAATCTAAATGCTCAAATTTCTCTTTAGATGCTTCCCTTAGTTAATTATGCAGACGCGTCTCCCTAATGCAGCAAACAACTCTCTCCCAGGTGTACTTTGGATGCCTAATTATCCATAAGAAAGAAAAATCCTTTGATTAAAACAAATTGCTCGAGTTAAGAATAAAAAAAAACTCTGCTTTGTCTTCTCACATAAGACCCTCCTAGGTCCTTGTCCATCCTATATTCCACCAGCGAGGCTTTGCTCAGGGGGACGGGGACGCCTGGAGAGCCCTGGGCTGAGGGGGCTGGGGATAGGTACTGAGCAGGTCTCTCTGAAGGGCATCCTTTAGGGAGCGGTTCTCAACCTGTGGGTCGAGACCCCTTTGGCCGTCGAACGACCCTTTCACAGAGGTCGCCTAAGACCATCCTGCATAACAGATATTTACATCATGATTCATAACAGCAGCAACATTACAGTTATGAAGTAGCAACGAAAATAATTTTATGGTTGGGTCACAACATGAGGAACTGTATTTAAAGGGCCAGAAGGTTGAGAACCACTGCTTTAGGGTTTATTGGTTTTAGGGATATTAAAACGCACTGATTAATCTAATGCTTTCCCAATGTCTCAGATTATTCTACGTGTGACAAACAAACACTGGGAAAGTCTTCTAAGGGGTATTTAAGTTAAACAAATAAATTCTGGCCGTGTCAACTTAGTGGATCAAGATGTTTTTGTCTTTCCTTTCCTGCCTCGGAGGGTCTGATAACATCAGAAACTTCTCAACCCTTTGGATTTTTAAGTAGGTAAGAAAGACCAGATTTAGGCCTGGATGCCTCTGCCTGGGCCCACTGAACCCGAACCAAGTGGCGGTGGATTGCAGGGACAAGGGCGCCTTTGTCATCCTCATTAATCAACCCCCCCAAGCCAGATGAATGGGAGGCATTTTTTTAGAGTCAAATAATTCACTAGAATTTGGATGTGTTTCTCTTTAATTAGTTTGATGAGCCCCAAGTCCGAGGACTTGTCAAACACCTGGTATTAACCCCATGCTGCTGACCGGGGGGAAAGACCGGGAGAGGCGAAGGACAAGCAGGTGGAAGGAGCTGAATGAGGGGCCCTCTCTGTGCAGCCGGGGCTCCAGATGAAAAGAATCATTACCACAATGATACTTCTAATTATACTGTCATTAGGATACCTCTTCGGTTGGCCGTGGTGCAGGGAGCCTTGCCTTTAGACAACATGATCCAGGAGACAGTGGCTGCCCGGGAGGCATTTAACCCTTTCTCCAGGTGCAGCACAACTGGAGCCCTCAACATTGAACTCCAGAATTCATAACGTGCCTTGCACCATTCTCCGCACGCTGCAGGTAAAGGCTGTTAAAGCCAGCAATACCTAAGTTGACATGGGAAAAGGTATCAGGGAGGGAGTCTTGGTGTGGCCACCATTACCCATAGCCTAGGTGGCACTTGCATGCTTTTCTGTTCCACGTTCCGCTCAAGTTCAACCAACAGGCACGTGGTTTATTGAGGAATGTATCAGTCTAACTACCTCCACACCAGTGGGTAACAGACGACCAAACGAAGGTACTTTGGTCTTCCTAATTCCAGTGTGTGTTTACCAAAGCCAAATGGCCCTACAGCATTTGAGGGCATAGGGCTGTGTGTCTGCCCATGTCACTCAGAGGGACAAAGTAGGGGCTTTGGAGTTTGATAGGCCTGGATTTGAATCTCAGCCTCATCATTTGCTAGATTTTCGGCCACAAGGAGATTACAGATTTCTAAGCCTCAATGTCCTCATCTGTAAAATGGGGGTTAATAATAGCACCTGCCTCATGGAACCCTTCATAGGAATAAATGACAATTCCCATATATTGCTAAACAGTACTTAGGAAACATGTAGCAAACACTGAGAAGGTGGTTGTGGAAGGGTAGTTTCTAAGAGTTTTCTTAAAGCGAGTCTATGTTTTCCTGGAATTACCAATCTGTCAGAAGTGCCTGC